GAAATGACTCTGATTTCTCCGACTGGTGGAGGGGGATTGCCTGGACGCCGAGGCTGTGGTGGTGGGCGATCGTGGCCTTGGTTAGGTGGGGCTTGATTGCTGGGTGGTGTATGTCGGCGATTGTTCCTGGGAAGGTCGGTTCTTTGCCTCTGTTGAGGGCGGGCCTCTGTTGAGGGCGGGTGTCTGTGAATCGGCTGAGGTGACCTTGACGTATGAAGGTCTCAATCTGATCTTTGAGGTTGGTACACTCGTCGGTGGTATGGCCATGGTCTTGGTGGAAACGGCAGTACTTGGACTGATCTTTGCGATTGGAAGGGTTTCGTGAAGGCAGGGGCCACTTGAGGGGGTAGTCCCGCTGGATCTGATTGAGGACGTGCTCCATGGGGGAGTTGAGTGGTGTGTACCGCTTGAACCGACCGGGCGGTTGGGTCCGAACCGACCGGTCGGCTCGGAGGGGTCGGTCATTATAGTGGGGTGTTTGGCTATTATACTGGGCGGTCCTTGGTTCTGAGTCTTTCCGCTTGTCTCTGGGGGTTGGATTTTTAGGGGTCGGCTTTTGCCTAGCGGCCAGGGAATCTTCAGCATTCATGTATTTCTTGGCTTTGGATAGTAGGGCTGCCATGGTGGTTGGAGGGTTTTTGGAGAGGGAGAAAAGAAAATCGGACGGCCGCAGACCGGCCATGAAAGCCGTGAGAATGACCTTGTCGTCATTCTCTGCTACTTGAAGGGCTTCGGTGTTGAAGCGGGTGACGAAGCTGCGGAGCGACTCCCCCTCAGTCTGACGAATGTTAAGGAGTTGGGTGGCTAGGCGTCTCTGACGTTGGGCTCCGATAAAATGGCTCAGGAAAGAGTCACTGAGGTGTTGAAAGGTGGAGACGGAGTCCGCCGGTAACTGGCTAAACCACAACCGAGCTGATCCCTTCAGTGTCACTGGAAAAGCTCGGCACATGATCTCGTCAGGGAAAGCATGGAGGATCATGAGGGTGCGGTAGGCTTCCAGATGGTCGACTAGGTCCGTCGTGCCATCGAAGGAGTCAATGGTGGGCATTTTGAACTTGGCGGGAAATGGTTTGTCCCAGATGGAGGCAACAAAGGGCGAGTTGGCGGTGACCGAGGGCTTGTGCTGGATGTTCTGCATGACCCCTTGTAGTTGGAGCTTCATAGCTCGAAGTTCAGCGTCCCAGAGGGGAATGTTATCACCATGGTCGGTCAACGGAGGTTGGACGCTGCTGGCTTCCCCCTCAGGGGCTAGTGCCACGACTGACGGGCGTGGAGGTGGAGGTAGTAGGCTCATATGTGGAGGAGGAGGAGGCTGAAAACCTTCTGGGTTGAGCGGAGGGGGTTGTGGAGCAGTGTGGACCGGGGTTCTTTCTTGGTTGGGTGGAATATCTGGAGGTGGAGCGGAGAGGTTTCTTTGGAGCAAAGCACTGATCAGGGCCTGGTTTTGCTCGGCCATGCGGTTAATGCTGTTAGTAAGTTCGATGATGTATTGTGGTGGTATTATGGTGAGAAGCCATGGACCTAGTCGTGACCATACACCTGGACGGGCGAGAGGAAAAGGCAACGGTGAGAAAGGGGAAGGGGCCTCCGGCGATAGTGAACACAACTAGCGCACGAATAAACCACACTTTCCCACAGACGGCGCCAACTGATGATGCAGTTCGTCCTGGGTGGATGGGTCGGTCTAGTCCAAGCTCTTTAAGTTTCGATTCAGGCGTGTGATCCCACCAGATGACCTGCAAGCAAGTCCAAAGGGGAACGGGGTAGTCCCCCAGTGAACCCTCCGGCGAGCAAATCAGTAAAGGAAGAAGGAAATATAGAGAGAGAGAGAGTGATGTGTTGTGGCAATAACTCTGCAGATCTTTGTCTGCTGATGTGGCCTGTGTTTCACCTGCCATGTGCCCGAATGCCATTGGCCCTCCATGTCCAGGTGGCCTCCAGCTGTCCTGGGCTTTTCCAACTAGGTTATGCTATGGGTCCCAAGCGATGGGTTTGGGGTTGTTTGCTGTAGGCCGTAAGCCTTGTGGGCCTATCCATGTCGAATAATGTGAATATTTACATTAAGTAAATTTGACAGTGTGAATATTTAGGTTGACAATGTGAATGTTTAGATCATGAAACATTCACACTATCAATATGAACATTAATACGTGCTTCATCTTATTATTATTGAGGGTATTTTGATAACTATGTCACTCACAAAACTTATTGGAATATGTAAAAATAATTTGGACTAAGAGAACATAAGTAGGTCAAAAAAGATTTATAAACAAATGCCTCTAAACTTTTATAATTTTAAAATAATTTAGGGGTGCAACTCGGGCGGGTTCGGTCGGGTTGGGAGGTTGTCCAAGCCCAGCCCAAGTTGTGCTAAGACCTGCCCAAGCCCGAATTGTAACCCGAGGTTGTTTGCCCAAGCCCGACCCGAGTTAAACCCGAGTTGCCCAAGTTGTCCGAATTGCCCGAGTTGTAAATGAATTTTTTTTTTCTTTTTTGTAACTACATTATTAAATTATTAAAATTTGACTCTATTTACAAATTTTTTTATTTATAGAAAATCATTAATACCATCAAAATAAATAATTTATATAATGTAAGAGATATACCACTATAGTAGTCCTTACCATTTATGAGTAAAAATAAAAAGAAAAAAAAGTAAGATTTTATGTTATTTGTATATATAATATATATTCAATATGATTTATTAATATAAATTACTTTAATATCATGTAATGACTAATAATTTGTATGTATATTTAATATTTTTATATATTTATATATATAATTCGGGCTTCGGGTTGCTCGGGTTGTTTAACGTCTTTGCCTAAGCCCGTCCAAATTTAATTCGGACTTCTGAATTTTTGTCCAAACCCGTACCGAATTTGAAAATATTTTGTCTAAGCTCTAAAAAAATTCGAGCTGGGCTCAGGTTGAGCTCGCCCAAGTTGCACCCCTAAAATAATTATACACAAAATTTTAAGCTAAAAAGATCTGAACTAAAGTAAATAGCGTAAAAATACATAAACAAGAAATATGTATGTATATATATATGTTTCAATTTAAACAATTGAATTATTAATAAAAATGAGTTTAAATGTTGTGTGAATTGTGCGAACTAAAATTTTATGAAATCTAATGCAATTACGTCGTTTTATTATTTTTTCTTTAAATTTCAAAAGGAGTCGCTTTAAATTTCAAAAAGAGTCGGACAAATTTACCCTAGGATATAACGAGTTACAGTTTAAATACTTTACAGAACTTATTCATTTTTTAAAACTGTTTTCAAATTTGGTTTCATAGGATTTTTTTTTTTTTTTACAATTTTTTTTTTTTGGTTCATTAGGATTATATAAGCTAAACTATTCTAGATCATTTTAATTAAAACACAGTATGAAAATTAAATAAAAATAAGTGCATAAACGTTTCATACTTATTAATGCTGTGTTTGGTTGGAGGATTTGAGGAGGAATTTGGAAAGAAAAATAAAAAAAATAGGTGAAATGTGAATAAAATATGTCTATATTTCACCTAGTTTCACACACATTTTTTCTCTCCCTTTCCAAATTCCTTCCCAAATCTCCCAACCAAACACAGCGTAAGGGTTTGTTCGAGAAATGAGTTGGTTTTTTGACTATTTTAATCCAGGACTAAAAAGCCTCGTTTAAGAATGACTTTTTAACTTTTTGTGAGATAAAGAATAAAATAATTATGAGTTAGATGTAATATTTTATCTTATTAGACTAAAAAGCCTATTTTGTTTTTTTATGACTATTTTAGCCAAAAAAATCCCAAACCAAGACTTCCCAAAAGAGCTCTGAGGCAATGTTTGGCATGAAGGTTTGGGTTAAGTTAGGGTTATTTTAGCCACAAATAGATAAAATAGACTTTTTAATCCAATAAGACAAAATGTCACATTCAAACCATAATCATTTTATTTTTTCTCTCATAAAAGTCAAAAAAACTAAAAAGTCTATTCCAAGCGCGGCTTTTTAACCCCACACTAAAATAGACAAAAAATCAAAAAACCCACCCACATCTCAAAGAAAGCTAGCTTCCGTTTGAGAAGTGGATTGACTTTTTAACTTTTTTAGCTATTTTAACTTGGGCTAAAAAGCTTAATTTGAGAAGGATTTTTTGACTTTTTAACTTTTTTTGTAAGAAAAGAGTGTAATAATTACAGATTGAATGTGATATTTTGTTTGTTATGACTAAAATAACTTATTTTATTTTTTGTAACTAAAATAGCCACAACTTGGTTTGGAAGCCTTGTTTTAAATCAGACGTGAAAGATTTACTATTTAGTACGAAAATTATAGTGTGAATGAAAATTCCTTATTTGTATCCTCTTTAACAATGAATAATTGAATGGTTATACCACAGAACAGATAATTGAATGGTTATACCACAGCTCTCATTAAGTGATGAATTTTATAATAACACTAACTTCAAATATAAATGTATCATGGCTCTTATTGGATTGGTTTTGGTTAAGAAATTAAATGGATTGCTTCTGTGTGCGCATAGTTTACTCTAGCAAGCAATGGAATTGCAAACCCTTTTAAGCAAGGATACATGTAGAGATGTGTAGTTTAAGATACTCAGCTTATACTTGTATTATTATTATTATTTTATTTTCGGCGACTATTAAGAGCTCTTATTTATAGTCATGAGGTATCACCATCTCAACTAACTCAACTAATCAGGCAGATTATGATTAGGGATGCAACTTGCAAGCGAAGTACTTGAAAAGTTAACCAACTTTAACAAAAACAATCTTTTTTGAAACAAACAATAACAAAAACTTTAAACAATGATAAATTGACAATCACAAGATTTATAAATTTAACAGCTAGTCACCAAGAAATCTATTCATCAATGTAAGCTCTAAAGTAGTAGATCTAGTTGACTACAATTTGACATCACTCACTCGTGTTTAGCAACCAAACAGAAACCAAATTAACATTTCAAAAGCAACCAAAATCGCAATGAAATCCAATAGCTAAATGAACAAAGATTGGAAATTTCAATTCAATTATCTATGAGCACAAAACAAAGCTATGCCAATAGAAACAACGATGAACATCACAGAAAATAAGCAAATTTTCCCAAACAACATTTTTGCATATGCCAATATATAAGCCCTCGTCTTACCTATGACCAATGTCTACTTTTAACAAAGACCCTAGGTCATTCTTGTCTATCAACAACTCACAAGAATAGCCCCAACCAAAAGTCTCAATTTGTTTATTACATTCAAAACCATAATCAACTAAATAAGAAAAAATTTAAAAAGTGGGGGAGACAGGAAAGCAGAGAGACAGTTCAATAGAAACTTAAAACTCTTGATCAATATTTTCTTACCTTTGCCTACCGATGACAGCATCAACTTGAACAGCCCTGCTCCTGGAAGATGAGTATAAAAATATGCTGGGTTCAGTAGCTAGATCATCTTATCTGGGAAGGAGAGCAAAGCAAGCCTGAAGCATCTGCCCCGACCACTGCAAGATCACAAACAGTACAGAGCTGCCCTTCCTGGCTTGGCACAAACCGGGCACTACAATAAGGGCACGAGACATCTTTCTGTCCTCGGTAAATGGGTACATGTGTTGCTCCACAAACCACAAATGGATTTCTGAAATCATAGTTCAGCTGAGTCACGTCTTTCATGTTCTTCTCAGCAGTCTGAAGCACTTGCCGGGCCATCTTTGCTTGGTTGTCATTCGTCGGATTGGTCTCCAAGAGCCGTCTCGCAAAATTGGCTGCCGTACTGAGGTTCTTAGCCTTGTAGCAAACGGTCATTGCATTTTGCAACGCTAGCCTCAAGTGAGGCATTTGAAGGTTGCAGTGGGTGAAATAAGCTGCAAGCTCTTGTTGGCGTACTGGGTTGTCTTTCATTTCCTTCCTCAAGAGCTCCATTTGCAGACCCAAAACATACTCTTTCACTATAATGATCAATTCCTTCACTTCGTCGACCTCTCTTCTTGACTCGACCACAACCAATGGAATGGTATGAAGGATACTAAGGAAGAGCCTAAGAGCCTCAGTGAATTTCCCAGATGTTGTGGCTTTGTAAGCAGCCTTGAGTTTCTCTTCCAATTGAGAGAAATTGAACACGAGTGCTGGTGGGCCCCTCACATTAGGGCTAGCAGACTCGCTCCATCCTCGTTCAATTGCCAGGGTTAACACTGGAGCCGATGAAAATGCACGTAGATAGGTATGGCTACCAGAATGAAGATCAAGAAACATGGATTTCAAAGGATTGAAGTTTTTTATTCCCAATTGCCGACTCAGCAAGCGCATTGCGGTATCAAAATTGCCAGCGGCTGCATGTTCGGCAGCGAGAGAAGATCTCTGGATCCAAATTTGGCTTACGGGCATGCCAGGAGTAGGGGCCACAAAAACTGAGGAGCGGGCATTGACTGCCTTTGGAGTATCTGCCTCAGGAGGAAGCTCCAAATCCTCGAGATCCCATCCACCCTCGTCATCATTTTCTTCAGGTACTTCCCCATCCTCCAGAACAGCTGCAATATCCCCATTTTGTAAGCCATCGACATCAATTACATCGAGTTCTTCGCCCCAATCAGCATCGGCAGCCTCTTCATCTTCATCAGGGGCACCCTTCCCAATATTATCAAGCCCACCCTCAAATATGCCTCTCATGACTCTCAAGAGGGGCCAATCTCCACCACACAAAACGGGGGTTGGAGACAACAGAAGAGATGGTACTTTACCCTTCGGCAAGGCAGGAACATTATCTCCCAATTTTGTCGCTAGACATTCGGCAATATCATGTAGGCCGTGGACTGAAGCAGTGATATATGCAAGTGGCAAATGCCCGGCATTCTCCAAAATCTTAACACGCTCACGAACATCACCAAGATACAAAGCATTATGGAACTGGCCCATAACATCGTTCTTGACCTCAGCAATTTTAAGCATTTTGGATAGTTTGTCCACATTGCCAGTAATGAGATAAAGAAAAGACAACCTCTCGAAATTCTTTGTCCTCTGGTAGGCATACTCAACAATTCCAGCGTTACCTTGGCGAAGAGCCTCCACCCCTAATCTGTACCAGTGATCCTTCTCATCAATTTCTTTTGCAGAAGCAACCGCAATCTGGATGTTCCCACTCTCGAGAGCCAGATTGAAACGGGTTCTCTCATCTTTCACAAAATGAAGAGCAACTTCAGGGAATCCTTTCTGCTGCAAATAAGCAATCATTGCCTGCCCACAGAGCTGGGAGTTCCTTATCATGCTCATAACATGGTCATATTTCTTCTTCATTAGGGACAGCTTAAAGATATATTCTGTTGCATCAATTACTATAACCTTGTTCTTTCCATCTCGGTCCAAGCAAAAAATCTTATTCCCTGAAACTTTTGTGATGTATATTGGGACATCAAGGGTCCTTATTATTCCACTATCTCCGTTGGGAAGGCAGTACTTGATGTGATTTAGGGTTGTATAAATGAAAACCCCATTGTCGTCCCAGGCTCCACTCTTCACACGAATCGTCTCGTGAAGGGTGCACTGGTGCACAAGTTTCTTACTGGTAATAACTATAGCATGTTTGCTTAGCAAAGCTACACTCTCCATATCATTTGACCAAATAATATACTTAACAAAAGGAGTTTGCAGATCACCAAGAATAATTCTCTGCTGAAGGTCAAATATAACAACCCTGTCCTCTGCCCTACAAAGCAAGTTCCCTGTTCCCGCATAGAATATTGCATCAGCAGCAATAGGGAGACTACTCTTCTTAACAATCTCATTCTTAAGGTTCTTGATTAGAATTTGATTGTTGCTTTTGTCGATCACAGCAAACCTATTTCGAGCAACAAAGACTGCTGACCCTCCCATACCTCTTTTTGCCTCTTGCACGGTATCACCCCTATTAATACTGTCTTTAGGAATTGCATAGAGCTCATAAGAGCCACCATCAACATCAGAACAGATTAGAACAGCATTTTCTGTAGGACTGTATGAAAGAGTGCGTGGACCTTGATTTAGGCTTGTAGAACCAGGGCGTCGAATTGGAATCACTTGTGTGTCTCTCTGAGTTGAGAACTCATAAAACCGCAAAAAGCGATCTTTGGCATAGAACATAGTATCTCCACTTACAGAGAAGGCAGGTCTTTCTCTTTCCAACTTAAACACAATCATACCACTATCGTGACCAGCAGCTAGGAGATTCATCTCAGGGTGAGCTGAGAGAATCCAAAATCGATCATGCTCCCGCCGGAAAGTTTGAACACCAGTCCGCTTTGTTACATCCCAAACACGAATGCTCTTGTCCTCTGAGTTGGAAACAATTATGTCCTGCTTGGCATGAAACATGACACATGACACATTATTCATGTGTCCCCTCAATGTATCCACTTCCCAAGCCTTTGTGTCTGGAAAAAAGAATAGAATGCCCAAACAGTTATGATAGTTCTAATAAATCAATTATTAAAATGATAATTATATAACCTCTCTGGAAGTTTCACTGTTGTCCATATCAACTGAGATGAGATGTAATAATTGTTTTGAAACTTTCTAATCAGGTACAGAGCTAGGATTCCAACATTGGGGGAGGGTGGCAGAAGTAAAGTATGGGTGGATGGTGGGTCAGGTCAGGATTAAACGTTTAAATAATTATTAAATATTATTTAATATAGTTCGATCGGACCGATCAAAAAGCATAGAAGACCAGTGGCAGTGATAGTCTCAATTTAGACATGCTGCCCACTTCTAATAAATCTATTTGAATATTACTCAAAGTGCCTTAAGCCGATAAAGCTTCTCAAGCAATCTAATTAAAAATTATAGGAGCTCACATAACAGACCAATATATTTTCACTAGTAAAAATTCATTGCTTTTAAAAACCAAAAAAAATATTTAAAATGGTTACACGCAAATCAAGTAACTATATTTCTTGTTTATTACAAGATTTTTCACGTGGTTTATCAATGGTTTTTTAACATTAGAATATATTGAATTTTTGGAGGACCATTACATGGGGCATTAAATTTTGGAGGGCAACCCTTGCACAAAGGGAGCTTTCAAAATTTTGAAGGGGATTGAATTTGGGGTGAGGCCATTACATGGGGTTCAATAAATTTTGAAGGGTAGCTCTCATATGAAAATGGGCTCTCTCAAATTTTTCGAGGGCCCAAGATCCCCTGACCCCCTTGCCTCCTCCTAAGTTCCAATACTCGTGTTTATCAAATAGTGATCCATTAATTACTACCACAGTTTGAAAAGAACCTAACAACTACCTTATGAACAAAAGAGAGGGGTAAAAACATAAAGGGAGTTCTTGAACAACTGACCATTCATGCGCCACAGCTTCACTTGACGATCATCTGCTCCCGAGACAATCAAAGGCAAGGTTGGGTGGAATGAAGCCCAGTTTACTCCACGGTCGTGACCTTCCAAGACATACTTAACAACGGCGTCCACCCCACCAAAAAGATCTGTGTTCATATGACTCAACCGCAGAATGTCATCAGCAGGGGAGACCGTCTTCTTCCTCAGGGCACCAATATCCCAAACACGAACTGTCTGATCCAGCGAGGCTGACACGACAAGGTCTTCCTTAGGGTGGAATGAAGCACACATTACATAGTGATTGTGTCCAGTTAAAACAGATATACAAGTACGTGACTGCCAATTCCAAATCCTGATGGTCTGATCATCACTTGCACTCACAATCCAAGGATACTCATGGTGAAACTGCACAGTTCGGATGTAATCAAGGTGTCCAAGAAGAGTAAAAAGACACCTATGCAACTTGTAGTTCCAAACCTTAATCTTGTAATCATCTCCTGCATAAGCAACAATGTGGATAAGATGCTTACTGCTACCAAAACGCACCACATAAACAAAATGTGCATTGTGTTATCAGTGGCATAGCTAGGAATTTAATTGAGAGGGGTCATTAAACAAGTCATTATCAATATAAAATTTTTAGTTATACACACAATCCATCAAAATCAACTCCCACATGACCCATTGTAATTTTATATATTCCTAATTACATCAACAAATGTAATTTAAAGTTGTCAAATTACATGTAAAAATAAATGTTGTGACGTTAATACTATTGCTTTAAAAAAAATCAAGCAAAAACATACAATGTTGACAATTGTCCGCGGTGTGTTTTAATTTTCTAAATAACCTCACTACCTATGCTATCAAACACATCATTTTCGATATATGTAGGAAATCATAAAAGACAGACATCAAAGGTCGCAATGTAACAACTACTTCTGTTGGCATAAAAGAGACCACTAACAAGAACCGGTCCAGAGCTCTCTCTTTTGCTTTCCTAAGGTGGGCGTTTTACTCTCTTTCAAATAGTAGACTATTCAAACCTCAGAGTATTCGGATGCATGTAATTTTATATATGTTATTTTTTCTATTCTATTGGGTTCTATTTGTGAAACCCATAAATTTATTGTTATGTTTCCTAAAGTCATTGGGGTCACTTTGTATAAGTCCAAAAAATTTGGCTAAGAGTCTAATATACTAAACAAAAAATTTTAACATTCAGTGGTGTCAACTGACACCATTGACTAAGCCGTGGCTACACCCGCGTGTTATACTCCAAACAAGGATTTATATTTAACAAGTTGTTCAAGTTCATCATTTTGTTTAAATGGAGATCCATTAAACTTCTTCCAATAGTCTTTAACCCTTCCCTGACAACATAAATGAAATTTTGTATCAACTTGGCCAAGACCGTTAAAATAAAAGTCGAAATTTAAAAAACAAAAAACAGTATGTCAAAATAATGCAACATAAAAGAAACACAACCACCAAATTGTTCTCCATGTAATCATTGAATACAACAAAAAGTCCAATTTATTGCATTTCATCAATGGCTACAGAATCTCCAAAAAAAGAAAAATTGAATTTTCTCAACTATGACGCATACTAACATAAAAGCAGTAAAAGTACATAATTCAGATCAAACAGGTCTGAATCACAGCCACCTATTGTTGGCTGCATATTTTGTACAAGCCAGTTACAATTCGACGCGTGGCAAAGTAAGGGTAATATGGGGAGACCATTCAAGTCTTTGATCCTGATCGTACACGTGGCAGTTGATATTGGTTGTTATGAGATCTAAGTAGCATTGGATCAACAAAGAGATGCAAGGTGATGTGGCATCAGCGGTTACTCTTATTTAAATTCAAATTTAGGAGGGAAGCTTAACTGCAAATGATGGAATAGTGGAGCTAATCTTGAGGCTACATAATCAGCGATTATGGGGGAGCAGTTCGATGATTGGAAATACAGTTCGACTGTCATCTTTTGAGCAGTATAAATAGCAGAGAAGGCCCTGGAAAAAATCCCCGGACTCAGATCTAAAAAACCTTATGCTACTTTACTTTTACATACCTTGTTCTTTATATTTCAGTACTTCAAATTCTGCACTGCATTTTCATTCATAGGAGTAGTTTCAAATAGATTGTCGCTTCGAATCGTTGTAAGTTTTTCATTATAGTGAAATGCTTCAAATTTTCTTTATTTGATTGGTATTCTGTTTAAATTCTTCTAAATCAAGCCACCAGTAAAAGTCCTCTTCATTGAGACTGAGAGAACTAAAATACAGTCGTCTGATAATTGGTTGGCAATTAAATTTCTGTAAAGACTAAATTAATCCTTACTGGCACGCTCGCAATCACAATAATAACCTTCGAAAACCAAAAAGCCAACACCTATACTCCAAATTAACTAACACACATTTTTAGAATGATTACTTGAGTTATACAATGCAAAATCTAGGCCTCAACATAACGCATCAAACCATTGACGCATAGATCTATGAAATATCAATAACAAATAGTCACATCAAATAGAATCCAATAAAATAAAAACAAATAAATTACAGAGAATCACCACAGCTACCACCGCAGCTACAATGTAGAGAACTGTAAAAATCTAGGTCACTGATAGACTAAAATTTAAATTGACAGCAATAATTCAATACCTCCAGAGACAAAAAGTGGCTGAGATTTGTGAAAGTGAACGCCACGAACAGGACCATCATGCTCATCGAATCTGTCAATGAGAGTCCCCATCCTGTAATCCCATAGCTGGATGACACCGCTGTGAAGACTCGCGAGGATCCACGGTCTCTTAGTGTGGAAACTCAGTCCCTTCACTCTATTACTCTTCGTCTCAAATTTCGTCAACATTCTCTCCAATCACAACAAATCTCAAAAATTCTGTACAAAACAATCACTTAAATCAAAAAAAACACACACAATTCTCCAAAAAAAAGTACAAAAATTAACGCGATTTACAACTCAGAAGGCTCAATCCAGATCTTACCATACACGAATTACAACACTAAAACGCCAAATTAGTCAATTTAATTAATCACTAAATGAAACCCTAATGATATAAATTAATCACAGATCTACAGAGATCATAGCTTTCAATTTGATGAATTGGTTCAGAAAATGAAGCGAATTATTTACCTCAGATCTGGCAAAGCTAAACGATTGATCCGATTGGATTACACTACCGAACATGTAAGAGATGAATACAGAGAGAGAGAGAGAGAGAGAGGGAGAATTTTAGAGAGAGAAAGTAATCCACAGGCTCGTAGATCCAGAGAGAGAGTGAAGGGAGGTTTTGAGTTCTCTCGCAGATCTGGCCTCGTTGATTGTCTGCGTTAGTTTGAGAGAGAGAGGGGGTGTAAACTGAAGTTTTTTTTGGGGGGTGAGAGTCGCGGTGAGGCTGGTTGGGTTGGGTTGGGTTGGATTATGTACATGTTGACTACACAAGTACGGTATGCTTCAGATAAATAGGGTCCGTCTGATTGAGTTTTGAATGGTTATGATATTTTGGTCATATCTTATGTTAGTTATCACATATTCCTTTAATCTTAAGTAAGGACGGCTCAGTGAACGGTTTAGATCTATTTGGGGGAGGTATTGTGAATAGGTATGTAAGAAAAATAAAAAAAAATGGCTAAATTAATTGAATTGGACTAAATCGAATCCTTTCAGTTTTTAAATTTGATCTTTTTGATTTTCGATTTCGGATCTTATGTATCGAATTATATCAAAATCGAAATCGACCGTTTCAACATATATTGAATTTATAATATATATAGGTCAAGTTTGACATGTCACAAAAAAGTCAGAAAGTTAAAAAGTTACTCAAAAAGTTAAAAAGTTATCATTATTCACCAAAAAAAAAAATATTAAAAAATTAATTTTATCACTATTCACCAACACATCAATCTAACAAAATCAGATCTGTGCTACGGTTGTGTGACAAAAAGTTGCACAGTTAAGTGTAATTTGATCGCACAGCTGTTCGGCCCATGGGGACCAATCACTGGTCCCGTTTTGATAATATGAACCGTTCAATATGTAGAACTCATCGAGTACTATATGCTTATAAAAAATCACATTGATCGGATATTGATAACTACATGATCAAATCAGTTTTGTATAAAAAAATAAAAATGTTATAATTAACGATTAGAAAAAAAATAAATCTGATCAGATAGCTATCGATATCTGATTAACGTAGTTTTTTACAGGTATATAGTACTCGACGAGTTTTACACATTGACGGTTCATATTATCAAAACGGGACCCATGATGGCCCCCACGAGTCCAATAGCGTCGTCCAGTGCAATGCCCAAAAAGTAGACAATTACTTATTACCATCTATTCCGCTTTGCAGAAATGACAGCCGTACAAGTCAACCTCTAATCTTCTCCTACACTCTAACTACACATTAATTTATACAATATTTTAATACATATTTTTTCATAAAAAGTCAAAAAGTTAACCCAAACAAACATATTTTTTTTCTCAACTTTTTAGTTCAAAAAGTCAAAAAGTGCACTTATTTAGGACGCCCCAAACAACCCCATAATCTAATAATATGATGATACTAATAAGTATAATAAATTATTAACCTTAATTAATTAATTTTATCGTCTTTATAACCTAAGTACTTGTTTGGCATGCACTAAAAAAATGTATTTTTTTTTATATACATACACTTATTTTGGTCACATCAATCAACATCTATCAACATTCTACTTTTCTATTCATTTTCTCTGCTTTTATACACATTTTTAATAAAAGGTCTAAAAGTGCATTAGTTTAGAACATTCCAAAAGTTGGTAAACTCTTATATAATTTTAATTCTAACTCATTATTCTTCAATCCTTAGTATTTTTTAACATTTTTTTTGTTAATTTAGGATTGAAAAATATTTATTAAATAGATGAATTGGATATGTTTTAAATTGTGAACAAATAACTAATTTAATATTTTTAAATATAGATTAGTGATTATATTTAAAAGCGATTCAAGTTTAAAAAGTCTTAAATCAATTCAACCATATTGAGCTGAACCGATTTAATCGATTCAGTTCAGTGCGGTTTGATGGAAGAAACGATTTGTATCGGCATTCAAAATAATAAAACTAATATTATCGGTTCGATGAAATTTTTGATCTAAATACCGACCATACTGTACCCAACCGATTACATACCTAATTTTCAATAATGTCTTCAAAATTAAAAATTTTAAAAACAAAAAACGATACACTTTTCTTATTTTATAAATTCAAGCTAAAGGTAAAATTTAATTTTTTTTAAAAAAAATAATAATTACTATTACAAAGTTATAACATTGTTAAGTTTTGATTATTTTCATAATAGAACTTGCAACTAATATTTCAGTTGATATTTGCGAATAAAAATAGAAAAAAAAAAAAACTTTTATAGCATTTAAATAAAATTGCTAAATCGCTAATATTATCATATTGCTTATATTTCTAAATTACTAATATTACCAAAATCATAGTCTCATTTAATAAATCTTCCAAGTCAAAGTTGGGAAAATTATTAGGGGAATCTTGTTAAATGGATGATATACTTCTATTTTTCTATATATAGTGGTCTTATTTTGTTGTTATCAACGATTAAAAAGCAATAACTAATAACAGAATAATGTCAACTCTATCATTGTGTGTGTTTTATTTGAATAAATAGAAAATTCTTTCACACCAAACCTTAAGCAAAATGTGCAAGTTAATTCTTTCCTCAACTTATTTATTCAAAAAAAAAAAAAAAAAATTAAAAAAAAAAAAAAACAACACAACCTAATCAACATCCAGAACAGACTGTAGTATAGTTGGTAGATCACCAACTCAAGGCATGCAAATTTAAATGTATATTGATATTCAAATTGCACTCACAATCAATGAACATCTTAGGAAAAGCCATGGATATCATATCAAAAGGATTAATACCAATTTCCATCAGCTCACACTTCTCTTGTTTTGTCTCCTTTACTTTTATTTTCATTTTCACAAATTAAAATTTTTGCAGTGTCTTATAGAAAGTCTCTTTTTAAGTTGACAAGCGGAGGCTCTCTAGAAAGGTCCTTTGAATTTGAATTATGGTAACTCAAACAATTACAGACTAAACAAAGCTCATAACATCAATTCTTTAAGATAAGGTACAGAGACTGATAAATGCATTATTTAACATTCAAGTATAAGAAACATAAAATTAAAAACATTGGTTATATATTGTTTTATTTGTTCAACTTTGTTGGCAATCAAATAAAGTTGAAGGAGATAATTAAGAATTGAAAATTAAAGAAAGTAAAATGCACGTCTAGGTTTAACATAAGGAAATTAAAGCATTTACAATATATTTGAAACAATTAACAAAATATCACTTCTAAAAGAAGACAATACAGACAGCTGAACAATCCATTGAATTTGAGTAGAAACCTCAAGCCCTTGCTGCAATGCTCAACACACCTAATTGAGAGTCAAAATTAAAATAAAAACAAAAAACAAAAAAAAAATTACTATCACTATACAACACACCCATTCATTAACATCAAAATTGAAACCAAAATCCTATAAACAAAGGCTTGTATTTTCGTCTTTGCTACTCACTTATATCTCACTTAACAAACAAACCAATCACATACCACCATGAGAAGCAACAACAACAATCTAAAATACTAAATCAATAGTACAGGTTAACTATTTGAAATAGAAGATAGACAGTAATTAATATGAGAATTTTACCCATTACTACCAACAACAACAAAAAAATTGTACAATAAAAATTATACCTTATGTTTTAAAGTATTAATCTAAAAAATTGACTAAATCTAGAAACACAACTCACAAAATGGAGACATAAATAGATAACAGTACTACCTGGTTAAAAACTCCAATCAGCGGTGTAGCTCAAGCCATGCAGATTTGAAAAGTGTAGATCATTGTAGAGATAGTATGAAGAGAGTCATAGAAAACAATAAAATGGTTGTTTGGTGAACTCTGAAGCACTGTTGTAGCTACCAATCACTCTTAAAAGTTAAGCTTGTTGGAATAATCTTCTGTGTAAAATAAATAACTTGAAACAAATCAAACAAATAAAAATAAATTACTTATTAAATTTATTTTACCGAAATGTAAAAGTACAAAAAGATCAAGTCGAGTGTGAGACACTCTGTCCTTAAGACAAATTCGCTCTGCTACGGTGTTTACGGATAAATGACGTCTATCTCCTAGAATACAATGATCTTCACAAATTGTAGTAGCATTCCAAACAATCTGTACGGCGAACAAAATTTGTATTCTAAACTCCCTGAAATTTTTCCTATAAAACTAATATGTAAAGTAATGCAAAAAGAGCAAAAATTCAAAGCAACAAAAGAATTTATGAATCCCAAACTGCTAGAAATGATGTAGTATTTATAGGCAAAATAGGTGACCTTTAGATTTGTCCGAATAGGTACAAAAGGGATAAACAGATCTGTTTTCAAACTGGATTAGGTGCAGTTCGAATTTGAACAGATCTGCTAGCAGTTTTAGATAGATAACTGCTGGGTAATTTAAATCTGTTAAAAAAGTTTATCTGTTGGGAATTTTGTGGAATTCGAACTTGGAAGAGGCACAATTTTTGGACAAAAAAAATTGAATTCAAATACATTTTGAAATTCAAATAATTTCCTGCAAGAATTTGAAAAAATTCAAATAAATTTTGTCCAAAAAATTAATGTTAGAACCAACCAGAACCACAACCCACACCCGTGCCCGGCACGGCTCGGCTCGACCGGCCCGTCGGACGGACGGTAGCGGCGGCGCGCACATGTGTGGTGGTTTGGGCTAAGGTTCACATTATCCATAACTCCTCCCTTCTACAAACTTGGGATGCCCCTTGAGGCCCAACTCAAGTGTTGCCACCTAGAGCTTATATATATATACAAGCTCTCTTAAAGTTTCAATATAGGACAACCCATTTCAAGGAAACCCATATTTTACTTACTGAATTGTCCATTCCACGAATCCAAAAACGACGTCAAGTTCTTATTCACTTATAAATGATTTTCAAGAAACATCTTCACCGTGTGACTTGCCGTGCAGCAAGAAATATATCACCTCTTTGGACCCACCTCAAAAGATGTGTAGACCCCATTCAAATTTGGGCTCAAAGTTGGCCTAAAATAAGCCTAAAAAAACCATAAATTCAAATAATCCCCCACATGAATGGAATTTGACGGAGAGAAAATGCAATAACATAATCTAATTATAGAATTGGGAATATTCTGCAAATGATAGGTAGCTTTTGGCTTTGAACCTTCCCTTATGAGACACTATCGGATTTACTAGCTGATCAGTGAACATGACATCTTGAATTGTTCAATCACTTGTGTAAACCAAGACAATAGAACTCATACAGTATAT